TGGGAGGGGGGATACCCCTCCCACACCCTACCCCCTCGGTCGCTTCGCTCCCTCGCCTTGGCCCTCCCTGTTTCCAATTGCTGGCTACGCCACTGTGCGTATATATTGTTGAATGTTGTCAGTGTAAACCCATAGACGTCATCAAAGATATATACACGTATAATATACATATGTATATTAATATATGATATCTATGAGTGAACTCACTGAGCTGTAGCCTATTTAAGTGTATTAATTTATATATAGAGATCAGTGTAAACCCCAGGAAACATGCATGGAAATCAAATAGGAGTGGGCATAAAAACTAAAAAGGTTTTCGGAATAAAAATAAATCACTTGCCATCTGATTCACGCACGCACACACGCACACGCACATACACACACGCGCGCACACGCACGCACGCGCGCGCATGCAGAAACATCGCCGGTGTCTATAACAGATATAATTTTCTCTCCACGTTCTCCCTACGAACCTCTATATTCTCTCAACTGCCACATACCCGGCCCCTTCTCTTAACCCCTTCCACATCCTTACTTATTCCGTGCACATCCATTCCTTTTGTTCTTCCCCTCCCAGGCTCCCACTTTCTCCCGAGCGTCTCACATCTATACCTGCTTCTATTTTCTTTTTCCAGCTATCTACGCCTTCTCTAGATCCCCTACTACCCTCTTCCACTTTCTTCGCTCCTCTTCTGTCGTATCCTCTCCCCTCCCCTCCCTTTCTTGCGTATCCACGCAGGCTCTCCCTAACCCTTTTATTATTCATCTATACTTTCTCCAGATCTTTCCTCTTTAATTAACCTTAATTGTACGTTCCTGCTTGCTTCATTCATCTATCTTCTACCCTTCCAATACTTCTTTCCATCTTCCTTAGCCATGCACTTTCACGTTACTATCTACCTTTCTTCTCCACACTCCCTCCCTCTCACAATTAGCCTGCTCGCTTACCCGTTAGGCCTAACGATTCCCCATGCACCATTTCATTCAAAATTATACCATTTCTAATTTGTTTACCACACGCATACTTTACCTACTCCAACCCTCCTTCTCTCCTCCTCCTTTCTTTTAATCTTCACCGCTCTATAACGTATACGTACCATTTACCCTGAAGTCATGCTTCCATCCACTATATTAATTATTTTTCCTCATTCTTTACCTTGACCCTACTTCTCTTCCTCCCCTTCCTCTTTTTATTTTCTTTTTCTTCTTCTTCCTCCTCCTTCTCCTCCTCCTCCACATCTACCCTCTTCCTCCCCATCATCCTCCCCCCTCCTCCTCCTTATCCTCATCCTCCTCCTCGTCCTCCTCCTCCTCCTCCTCCCCCTCCTCCTCCTCCTTATCCTCACCTTTCTCTTCCTCCTCTACATTCTCATCCTCGATTAATCTTTAATTCTCCTTCTCTGCCTTCTCCGTCATACTTTGTCTACTCTAGTACTCATTGTTCTCTCATCCTCAATGCCATTCCTCCAGAACCCTTCACCTGTTTTCCTCTCAGCCACGACATTTCCTCTTCCGCTCCCTCTGGATGCTGCGGCTGCTGCTGCTCATCCTCCTCCTCTTCCTCCTGCTCTTCATTCTCTTCATCCGCCTCCCCCTTCCGCCATACTACGTACCCGTTTTTCAAACACCTCTTTCTCTATTAAAAAGCCGCACTGAGAAGCTTAAGTTCATCACAACTACCCATTAGGGCCGCTAGTATTAATTAGTTTTCAATACTGATACGTATTCTCTTCCTCCCCATTCTCTTTTTCTTTTCTTCGATCGTCTTCTTCTTCTTCTTCTTCTTCTTCTTCTTCTTCTTCTTCTTCCTCCTCCTCCTCCTCCTCCTCCTCTCCATTTACCCTCTTCCTCTTCCTCCTCTTCCTCCTCCACCTCCTCCTCCTCCTCCTCCTCCTCCTCATCCTCACCTTTCTCTTCTTTCTCTACCTTCTCATCCTCGATTAATTTTCAATTCCCCTTCTCTGCCTTCTACGTCGTACTTTGTCTACTCTAGTACTCATTGTTCTCTCATCCTCAATGCCATTCCTCCAGAACCCTTCACCTGTTTTCCTCTCAGCCACGACATTTCCTCCTCCGCTCTTTCTGGATGCTGCGGCTGCTGCTGCTCATCCTCCTCCTCTTCCTCCTGCTCTTCATTCTCTTCATCCACCTCCCCCCTTCCGCCATACTACGTACCCGTTTTTCAAACACCTCTTTCTCTATTAAAAAGCCGCACTGAGAAGCTTAAGTTTATCACAACTACCCATTAGGGCCGCTAGTATTAATTAGTTTTCAATACTGATACGTATTGAAGTCTGTATTTTACCTGATTGCTTTCTATTGAAGCACGGCCATTGGCCGGCAACTCTTAGTGACGTCATTTTGTACGGCGAATAGAAATCCGTTCCATCGCATTATACGCCTATCGGCTGTCGCGTTGAGCTTCGACCGAGATTTTCAGCATCGCCTGAAAATGGCGGAGTTTGCTTCGGATGGTATTCTGTCCGATAAATTCTCCGTTTATCCTAGCAAAAAACTAGTCGATGTCAGATTATTGCGGTCGGGAATTACAGTGAGCGATCTTTCGTCATTAAATGCGAATAATTTTCAATCTAATGTGAAATTCAGAGATGTTGTCGGCTGTCATTGTATGCGAAGCCGCGACAGCAGTGAATCCACAGCTTTTATCACTGTGTACGCATACACGCCTAAGAAGAAGAAGGAAGCTAAAGGGAGAAGCCGGCGTAGGACAACAATATCATTTGCCGTAAATAAAAGCGATAATTACGAGGAAAACGAACGGATCGCACAACAATGGAAAGTTGCAATACTCTGTGTTTTACGAACTGTGCAAACAGGACAAGGTAATTGAGTGTAATCACTCATTCACTGTATTAAATGTGTACTCCGCCTCCGTGCATCTTCTCCTTTCCTATCTCTGCTCACGTTGTTATTTCGATCGCTAAGTTTCGCGCTTCAATTCGTGGTTAAACCCCCCCCGCCCCTGTTTCTGAAGAAATCGATTACGATGTCAAATTTTGTCGTATTCTTCGCGAGGAGTAGGTCTACTACTAGTAGAAGTACTTCTATAGCTGGCTAGGTCGTGTTTGTTGGATCAACTTCAAGGATAGTTTGGGACCCCCAACTCTCACAACTCACTACTACTACTACTAGTACTACTACTACTAGTGCTGAGAGGGTCTATGTCCCCCAGGGTACGGTCCGGTATACCGGAACGTACCCTGGTACTATCTAATATGCCGGACTGTACCTCGCCTACTCCCCAATCCTTTAAACCTTAACCCTAACCTTAATCCTAACCCTAACCCTAACCCTAACCATATCAGATAGTTACCAGGGTACGTTCCGGTATACCGGACCGTACCCAGGGTACGTTCCGGCAGTACCCTGGGGGACATAGACCCTATGAGCACTACTAGTACTAAGCGTTTAGGGTACGCACGTACCAATTGTACATGTTTATCACATAGTTTTCTGGGCTCTGACTGTCCTGCTAAAAAGTGAAAATAAACACACAAAAAACACGTTTTTTGAATGTTGCATGTTGACGGTTGGCATTTGAACATGTATGCTCTGGCACTGTGACAAACGTGTTTCGAAATATAGGTCATTTATTGGCAAATTTCCAATACGAAAGTGTGTTTATGTGACGATAACTAGACCTAGTTTTAGGTAGAATATGACATCGGGAACACACTGTTGTACATCTATAATATGATTTTACATGTTCAGCACAAGACATATTTGGCTGATACTGAATATATAAAATCAAATGATGGATACACAACAGTTTGCATGTATATTGCATTTGGCACTTGTATCATCAAAGCACTTGATAAGCATTCATTGTTGTGTTGAACAGATACTTGATGTAAAAAGAAATGTTCCCTCCTCCAACTACAGCGCACAAGCTTAGATTTTAAGTTTTGGCATTCGAATACCCGGAAACGTTTGCCAACCGTTATGGAGATGTTATTAATATATCAGCACGTTTTCCACACTGCGATAGAACTACGGCTGAGTGTACACGCGCCGTATCGGCGCATGCTGGTGATCATCAACCCATATGGAGGTCAGGGCAAGGCCAGAAAGATTTTCGAAGATAACGTCTCTCAGATTTTCACCGAAGCTGACATCTACTATAAGTTGATGACCACAGGTACACTAACTGTTTGTCTTTATGCCCTTAGTAGATGTGATCGAGAATTATTAGTAGCCATAGAAAAGTTGATGTGTCACTACATAGTATATATAATTATATAACTCATTAAATAAGTTAATTCGGTTGGTAGACCATAATAGATATAACAGGGTTAATTGTTACTCAACCGTGAAGATTTGAAACGTACCGCTTACGTGAAGTATATATATATATATATATTTCACCAGCTTGTGTAATACTACTAGTATTAACACTGGTATCAGCAATAAACTATGCTGGCAGTAATATTGTTTTGGCTTCACCGTGCTGGCTAACAAAACGTTTAAATTGCGCAGGGTGTCTGACAACCTTGTTTGTTTTGGCAGCAAGCATTTGTGTACATGCAGTCCGAGTGTAGTTGTGGACCGTTCGTAGTAATGGTCAGTAGGTCTGTAGGAATACCGCTGGCGTTCGCCACCTTCCCAAAATGTGATGAATAAATAACAGCGGCGATTTTACTATGTACACTAAATGGCGAATACAATTGGCGAATGATTTTTAACCGCTTACGAAATTACTATTGAAGAATGAAATCGTCAAATTGCAGTGTCGTGTAAGTACTAACAAATTCGGTGACCTAGTCCTTTGGTGCAAGACCATACAACGGCGCAACAGCCTAGTTTTGTGTACATTTAAAAACTACATTATTTCATGTTTACTTGATTAATTTATTGAAATGGTTTTCGTGCACTTCTTTTCCCATACCCATGACGTCTTTATGCCTTGCTTAGCACATTCGATGAAGTTAACAGTGGCTATAGTCTTCACCAGTGGGAACCTGACCGAGAACTAGTCCAGCAACTGGTACCAGAGGGAAACGAAACACAAACACACGCAAAAAAACATTGTATTGGAACACCTGCGGCTGGGCGGGGCCTGAAATATTTCTTTTCAGGAATTGCAATGAAAATGTTATGGTCAAATGGCCAGATAACAGGCAATACACCTGCTTATTAGGCCTGGTGCTGAAAACACCCCTCCCAGCATGTAAGGAAGAATGAATGTTTACAGGCATTTATGTATCATTTAACTAGTTCCCTATGAACTTTTAATATTATTACGCCCGAGTTATCCGATCACATGCCATGTTTCCGAGTTATCCGATCACATGATAGCGATTAATAATTTATATATATATATATATATATATGTCAAATGGCGGACACCATGGAGCAACAGTGTGATGTGCATGCATCATGTACTGGTGCAATTATGTCTCACGTCATCCTGCCATGTACCGATAATAAGTCTGTCATGCTAACATGTTTTTTGAGCTGCCCCAAATCGCTTTTATCTTCTTCGTGTGAAAGTTCGACAACATGCTTGGTACGTACAAGTGTACGTTACATGACAATAGTAAAACTACAGTCTATTCACTGACACACGGAATATTTAGCGGTCGTGCTTCAATGTAACCCATGTTTGGTGTAACCCATGTAGGGTTCAGGGTTCTCCAAGAGCACTTATAGCCTGGCGGCCCGCCATCCAAAATGCACCCGCCACTCTAACGTATTCATAGCCCCATGCTAATATCATAGCCCCCGGCGATCGCCCCTAGCACGCAAACCGCTTCGGCTGATTTGCAACTAGGACGTAAAGGCAGCACCCCATGCAGATAATGAAAATGCTTGGAGAACCCTGGTTTCGCGTTCTTTGATTCACAGTCGAATGTAGATATGTTGCAGATAGTTTTTTTGTTTTTTTTTTTTGTTTTTTTTTTTTTTTTTTTTTTTTTTTTTAATTTTTTTTTTTTTTTTTGGTTTTTTTTTTTTTTTTTTTTTTTTTTTTTTTTTTTTTTTTTTTTTTTTTTACTTACTAGGCGTCGGTTTTCGGTCTTGTAATGCAATGGTGTGTGACAAGTGTGTGTACAGCCGCTTGTGGTGGTTGGATCGTTGTGCGACCACATTCGTCTACATGCTGTGGTGTGTTATAAGGGTGCTTTGCGTACGTGTTCTGTGCGCGTTTACACGCATTGTCGGTCGTTGTATTTGTATGCTCTTGCGTGGTGTGCCGAGGGTAGTGGCGATGCGTCCGGTGTGTGTGTGAGTGTGTGTGGAGTAGCTTGTGTGTGTGTGTGTGTGTGGCTGTGTGTGTGTGTCTGTGTGTGTGTGTGTGGCCGCTGTGTGTGTTGTGTGTGTTGTGTGGCGTGGCGTGCGTGCGTGGTATTATTGCGTGTGTGTGTGTTTGTGCGTGTGTGTTTGGTGCGTCCTGTGCGCTGCCGTTGCGTGGCTGTTGGATAGTGTATAGCTGTATCTGTATTTGTGGTGGTCAGCTGTGTAGGTGCAGTGCATTTCGTTGCGTGCTGGCGTGCGTATGGTGTTGTATTTTGTGCGTGCCGTGCGTGCGTGGCGTCGTGCGTGCGGTGCGTGCGTGCGTGTCGTGTGTAGTGTTAGTTTATACTGTATTTGTGTGGGGTTGTTGTGCGGCGTGCGTGGCCGGGACATTCAGTTGTGGCTGCGTGCGGTATGGTGGGTGTGTGGTGGGCGATTCTGGGGGTGGTGGCTCTCCTCTGCTCGTGCGGTGCGTGGTGCGTGCTGGCTGTGCGTGGCGTGTGTATAGTGTTACGGCGGGTATCCGTTATTTGGTGTGTCGTGCGTAGGTTGCATTCGTGTGCGTGGCTGCGTGCGTATGAGTGTGTGCGTGCAGGGCGGTTGGGGGGGCTGTGGGGCGGCTGCCGTGCTCTGGTGTTAGTGGAGGGTTATCTGTATTTGTGTGGGCGTGCGCTGCATTCGTGGGGGGCGTGCGTGTGTGGTGCGGCGTGTCGATATAGTGTTATAAGTGTATTGTTATTTGGTTGTGTGCGTTCGTGCATTTGTCGTGGCTGTGGCGTGTGATGGGTGGCGCGGTGAGGGTGTGCGGGCGGTCGTGTGCGCGTGCAGGGCCATCCGCCCTTCCGTGCGTGCGTGGCGGCGCGCTTCATGTCCATCTTTTATTTCCAGTAGCCGGCCGGGGGGTTCTAGTTGCCCCAATCCGGTTTGCATTGCAGCAGCAGGCCAGCATCTGTGACAAGTTTATCACTGTGTAACAACGTGATCATACACACATACGTGAATGAATAATCAGAGTCTAATAATAATAATAGATCTGAATAGATCTAATAATAATAATTAAGATCAATATGATTAATTTAGATCTAAGTAATCAATAAATAATCAATTAGATTAATGATCTAATTAGAGACATTAATAGATCTAATATACGATTAATATCTAGACCTAATAGATGGCTATAATAAGTCTAATAGAGTCTAAGAATAGATCTAATGCTTAGATCTAATATAATAATATACCGTGTTGTAATGAATAATTAATTCTATTCATTATGTCACTGCCTGATACACATATTGTAGCCGATACAGATACAATTCATTCTATTAAGTGGTCATGCTCGGGGCGATGCAGGCGTCAACTCCACCTGCAGCTAGAGCTGGATGACTATATACTATGTATGCGCATGCAACGAACGTGGTGCAAGCGGTACGTCATTCGCGCTACCTGTTTACCTCACGAGTTCGACATCCGACGGCAGCGCACGCACGTACCACGGCACGCGACCGTGACTTGCGGCCGTCAGAGTGAGGCAAGATGGAACCATCCTGGTGGAATTTACTAAGCAAGTGCCCATCGAGCGAGAGTTTGGTTGGGGTGGGGCGTTGGGGTCGGGGGTTGGTGTGCATAAACGACCGCGATTTGCGTCATAGAAGCTCGTGATGATTAGGGTTAGGGGTTAGGGTTAGGGTTGTGAATAGGGTTAGGGTGAGTGTTTGTGCTAACGTTAGGGTTAGGGGTTGTGAATAGGGTTAATACTAGCGTTAGAGTAAGCGTTGTGATTAGGATTAGGGTTAAGACTAGCGTTAGGGTTAGAGTTTGAGCAAACATATATATTAGTAAGTATATTTTGGTTAGAGTTTCAGTGCACACTTTAGGGTACGTTAAGGTATTATGGTTTGTTTAAGTCTTCTTACTCATGCCATGGCAGTGTTGGAGATAGCAGCCCGTCCTCTAGTAACTATGGGGTTGCACTACAGTCCATGGACTGGTTACTTTAGAGCAGGACTGGCTAATTTTTCATCGATTTTATTATGCTGTAAAAATTAGGACAGCTGGTGGTTTCAGACCAATTTCCTATACTGATTAGGGTGCTTTCAGACTAACGGCTTGCAATTATAACAAGTTGAGTGTATCAGAGTGAGCGTCGCGTTCGGGGTTAGGGTTTTGCTTTGCCATCTGAAGTCGCGTGATATTGTAGGGAAGGTTTTTTTGGTGTTACACATGACACGTCGGTCAATGATCGTAGACAGTGATGGTCGAAGGCGTCAGGTATCACAGGCTTTATTCTAATATATATTTTACGACATACCAGGGGCGTGCCCAGGATTTGTACCAGGTGTGTGGGGGGGGGGGGTTCTAACCCTAACCCAAACTTGCGAGCACGCGAAGGGGGGGGTCCCAAATTTTTTGAAATTAGACTCCTAAGATGCGTTTTCTGCGCGAGCAGGGGGGGTCCGGACCCTCTGGACCCCCCCCCTCCCTGTACACGCCCCTGCATACATAAGCACAACAGTACGTAAGTGCGTCGTGATATGGAAGTCATTGGGTAACAGGGTCGTGAGGTTGGCTCGTTTGCGCAATCTTGACGACATCCACCAGATGACGCGGATGTGCCACGGGGCTAGGCGTCTGCTACGCGCCAAGGAGCTACGCGCTATCACGCGCGTGCACGGTCGTGCTGGATACTTCCTGGTTGTTGTCGGTCGGCATAATCTTGTTCTTCCCGGTTCGTGAAAGGGAAACCTTGACCGGATATCACACTGCCAATAGATAGGTGGATGGGTGGGTGAGTGGAGATGGATGAATGGATGGATGGATGTATGTTTGGACGGATGGATGGCCGGGCGGGCAGGCAGATGGGTGGATGGATGGATGGATGGACGGACGGACGGGTGGACGGATGGATGAATGGATGGATGGATGAACGGACGGACGGATAAATGGATGGATAGATGTATAAATGAATAGATGGATGCAAGACGGATTAATTGCTAGATAAAATACACTAGAAATAGAATAAAATCAACGTAATAATTTCATTTTATGTATTTATTTAATTACATCGTAGTCGGGCGTGTCTGTGACTACGCTTGTGTGTTGTAGTGTTCGCACAAACACGTGCTCCTGCTGTTAATTCTGCAGTTCACCACGCTTCAAAACATTCTCTTTACATCGTAACCCAACCAAAAACATACCGCGCATGGGTAGGTAGGTGGCTCGACGTCGTAAAATACTCAACTGACGCATCCGTCATATAGTCGTGTACGCATAGTTTAGTATTAGACGTTTACACGCGTGGCCGTATAACAAATAGAGGGTTACGCCATGTTTACAGTCGGTATATGAATTGTGCAGGCCTCTCTCTGTCTGATATGGCGTTTAGGGGTGCCCTCCACGAGGCGTGTGTTACACTAGCACTTTTCCGCGATGTTGCTGCGGGCGATATTCAAGCCGCTTTCTGTCAACATGCAGAGCACTAGGCTAAATTCATACGGCGAGGGGGGACAGATCACGATGTCCTAGTTCTGCTGTTATGCAACACTACGACTTCGTGCTTTCTAAGAGAGCACTTGTTAGAGAACTTAGAAGATTCAGCCCGCGTAGCTTCTGCCTTGACATTCAAACAGAATTTGCGTGTAGTTCATTCAAAAATCTGGTGCTATCAAGAGCTATTAATACCGACGTATTATTAGTTATTGGTGTTATTATAATACTACACCAGTATTCTTTCTGAGAGAATATCTGTATGATACTCATGTAAATACTGCTGTACTTGCTCGTGGATATATACGTACGTGGGGACTCTGGTTTATACTATAGATAAGCGTGATAAATAAAGCTAGTTGAGCTAGCAAAGCCTTGGTGAGTGTGTGTTGAACAAGCTACGAAACGCGAAGGGAAATAGTAAGACGAAATCTGCGTTCTGCTAACAAGCACCCATATTTATGTCATTTATCACGCGCCTTCTGTGCCCTTGCTCTGTCACGTACTTACACGCCTTCTGATGGAGTTTGTTTATGCAATACAATTAGTATTGTTTACTGTTAATATGAAATGATTTGGCAGGATGCTATGTGGCCGATAGCGTGTTTTGACTTTAGAGGCAATCTCCCTATGTGTACATACATTATAGACGTCAACATTATTATGCTAACTATACAGATAAGATTACATAAGTTCACTGGTAAAAACTGGTAAGCGCTGGAACTGTACGTTTCCCCGTCTCTAAGCAAACCAAGACCCGTTGATGTGACATTTATTAGATACTATTCCAGGTAGCCATAGTCCAGGCTTGCGAGTGATCTCTCTTGATTTATTTTGAGGCATGCAGCCATAGAAATATTATTCTTAGATAGTCTTGTTTATACGTACTATATATGCATACAGCACTTTGAAATCATACGTCCAAAAAAATTCATTCGTGCTCGTTTCCCACACGTCAAATTCAACGCTGCAAGGACGTCTGCTTTGTTGTTGCATAGTCATCTTTACATCTCACGAAGGTCGTATACACCTATTCGTCAATCATATTTGAGATATCGGGGTTCTAACGCGCCGTTAGCAAGCAGAAATCACCGCATTTTGTCGACAGGTTGTCGCGTTATAAAGACTCGTCAGACCAACATCACGATGACAACGTGTATATATTGAACGCAGAACTTTTGTCGTCGAAATTGTCTGGCGACCAGAAATTCGCCGAAATAACGCGCAGCATTTTTTCACGCGTGACCCAAATATAGCCGTCGTTGCGTGCGATGGTGGTGGTGATGGTGGTGGTGATGGGGGGGGGGGGGTGGAATCAGTAGCGTAAGTGGTGGGAAGGAATTGAGATAACGACATCAGATAATAACATCCGATATATAAGTTGCGGTTCTTTTCGTGTGTGCCGCGCACCGATATACACGGGTAGCCATGCACAGTGCACTAGATAACTGGTCGCATGTTTCGCTATTACACCGGTGCAGAGGATGGCGGAGGGTGGGTG